TAAGCATCTAAAAATGCTTTTCATTGCAATGTTTTGGTGACAGGTGCTCTTTAAGGTCTGCTCAAAATGAACGATGACTGGGCTGCCCTAACGCAGTGCACCTTGAAGCACAAGAACTAGGGCTGCGTAAATTAACGATTAAGTTAACGATTAATCGATTAACGATTAATCGTTAAATTTTTTGATCGATTACATTTCTTTAATTTCACTATATTGCACACCACACTTTTTTTTTTTCTTTTTTTACTTCCACCGGTCCAAGCTTGCTCCTTTGATGGACTACAATCTCAGTACAAGCTAGTAGTCCATCACTGGAGCCATTTTTTACATTTATTTTATTTTTATCCAATTAACCGATTAATCGAACTTAATAATCGGCTAACTAATCGATTTTAAAAATAATAATCGTTAGCTGCAGCTCTACTAGGATCACACTAATCCAGCACGTTATTAGTCTGAGTTGCCCCACTCAAGCGGCGGCCATATTGAGTGGGGCACGTGAGATTAATAACGTGCTGGATGAGTGTGATCCTAGTTCATTTTATTACTTCATTGCTGTGCTGTGTGTGTATAGGCCAATGTAGTTGGATCTGTATGTGCGTTATAATTAATCAAAATTAATCGATTACATTTTTTTTCGATTAATCGAACACGAAAATTTTAATCAGTAACAGCATATGCACAACTGTGTCTCTGTGATGTGGCCCTAGGGCCTATTCACACCAAGCCGCTCCGTTGCAGTGCCCTTTATGCGCATTACCGAACGTGCGTTACGCCACCCATTACCGCGCGTCCTGCTAAGGAAGTTGATTTATGTGAATACGCTGCCAATGCACCACATGGGACCGATAATTGGACCTGCAGCTTTTTTAGTTGGCCGGCTCCCTGCTTCTCCGGTCTCTGAAGCCTGTCTCCTCCTACGCTGAAGCATTGAAATCTTCCTTGGCGTCCTTCCGTGTATACACCGTGTATAGAACGTAGTGAGTTACGGGACCTTAGACCGCTGCAGCGGAGGGGGAGAGAGGCTGGATGGGCCGGTCAAGAAGCAAGCTGGCTTTAAGGATCGGGCGAGTATAACTTTTTTTTTTTTTAGCACCTAGACCAAAACGAGCACTTAATCCTTCCAGTGCAGGACTGGCCCCACAAATACAAGTTTTGCCCGGAGTTCTCCTTTAAGGCAGAGCCATAACTGTAGAGGAAAGTGAGACATCATCTGACCTCATGACCCCGTCCAGCAATCTGTTATTTCCATTCCTCATAAACAGTCACTAATGGATACAGAATGTTCCACGCAAACAAGGCAAAAGCAATGTTCTCAAGAAATTCCGGAACCGGCGCCAGCCGGGAAGCGCCGAGAAGAACAGCGGGATCACGTGGCATGCCTAATTGCACCTGCGAGTCGGTAGACGAGTCTCTGGAAATAATTATAATTATCTGGCAATTATGAATGGCGCAGAACAATGTCTGAAGCGCTGATTACAGTGTCACATATTTCTGGTGCTGTATTGAAGATTTCACATTGTTTCATTTTATAATGGGCTGATCCTTCCTGGCGGGTTCATCGCTTCTCTAGGAACACATTCATTACACCGATGGAGAAGACGGGAAGACGAATCCATTTATGTTCTATACTATGTACCAGAAATGATTTGATGTTCGCGCGGTCCTATTTTCTTGGCTGGTTGCCGGTGTAAGCCTCACTTGTCCCTATGCCTGCCAATCAACTGCTGTGTCAACCTCAAGACCAGCCACATGAAGGTGGCCATACATGGCTGGAATACCACCGTGTGGCCCTCCCGATACGGCCAGGTCAACAAACTTTGAGGCCGGCCAGGATCACCCCTGGGCGATCCGTGACCGCGCGGCAATGGACCGAGAGCCCGACGGCGTCAGGAGAGAGGAGGGGACTTGGCATACCTCATCCCGCCAGGTGAACGTCCCCTCCTTTCTCTGCCAGCGTCCTTCACCAAGATGGCCGCCGGTAGGCATCATTCAAAAGGTCGAGCATGTGCGATGACGTCATCGCGCGTGTGCGTGGTGACGTCACGCACGATAACGACACGGCGGGGTGTCACCAGGTCTAGAGACCAGGTGCCACCCTCCCTCGGGACGCCCCTGCTATATGGTCAACCATCTGTGGACACCTGACCATCACACATATGTGAGCTTGTTGGACCTCCCTTTTCAAAACCATGGACATGAATATGGAGTTGCCCCCCCCCCCTCTATTTGTGGCTATGGCATACTCCACTGCTACTCTAGATTTTAAAGTGTGTAGGCGCCCATTCAGCCAAAAGAACATTTGTGAGGTCAGCTACAGAAGTTGGATGTTTAGTAGGATTGGGATCCTTCACACTATGCTGGAGCATCAACAGGACACTTCACCGGAAACAAATGAACTCAATCATTTGGAGGAGTGTCAACATACTTTTGGCCATATATGTAGATGTGATGGTCAGGTGCTCTCATACTTTTAGTCGTATATGTAGATGTGATGGTCAGGTGCCCTCATACTTTTGGCCATATATGTAGATGTGATGGTCAGGTGTCCGCATACTTTTGGCCATATATGTAGATGTGATGGTCAGGTGCCCTCATACTTTTGGCCATATATGTAGATGTGATGGTCAGGTGTCCGCATACTTTTGGCCATATATGTAGATGTGATGGTCAGGTGTCCTCATACTTTTGGCCATATATGTAGATGTGATGGTCAGGTTGCCTCATACTTTTGGCCATATATGTAGATGTGATGGTCAGGTGTCCTCATACTTTTGGCCATATATGTAGATGTGATGGTCAGGTTGCCTCATACTTTTGGCCATATATGTAGATGTGATGGTCAGGTGTCATCATACTTTTGGCCATATGTGTAGATGTGATGGTCAGGTGTCATCATACTTTTGGCCATATGTGTAGATGTGATGGTCAGGTGCTCTCATACTTTTGGCCATATATGTAGATGTGATAATCAGGTGTCCTCATACTTTTGGCCATATATGTAGATGTGATGGTCAGGTTGCCTCATACTTTTTGTCATATATGTAGATTTGATGTTCAGGTTGCCTCATACTTTTAGTCCTATATGTAGATGTGATGGTCAGATGCCCTCATACTTTTAATCATATATGTAGATGTGATGGTCAGATGCCCTCATACTTTTAGTCATATATGTAGATGTGATGGTCAGATGCCCTCATACTTTTAGTCATATATGTAGATGTGATGGTCAGGTGCCCTCATACTTTTGGCCATATAGAGCATGTATCATGGGTTTATGTTATTTTACACCTCATTATCCTGCACCTGTACCACTGGCGTAGATTGGAGAAGACTGGCTGGTTACAAACCAATCAGTGACACAGAATCTATCCAATTGTGTTTGTGGGGGCGGGGAGATTCCATGTTAGATCAGTACAATGCAGTTAATTAAAATTAGTAACCGACAGTTTGAGCTTACCTTCTGTGTGCGAGTAGCCCTCTGCTGTGACTTTCCACTGGACGAGCACCCCCAGTAAGCTGAGCACAGGCCATATCCCGAGGATGACCCAGCTGTACCAGCAGACGGCCTGCGGGGGGTCAACCTTCATGCGCTGGTACACGTACTGCACCAGAAGAAAGAGCTCGATGAAGTAATCCACAGTCACAGTCATGATGGCACTGCCAAAGACAGCAGTGGAGAGTGTGGTGAAGAAGCGTTGCCACTGTAAGGTCAACACGGCAAACAGCATCCCAATTCCGAGCAAAAGCGCCACCGGAACCCACACCGTGCGTGGGTGGTAGAACTGTTCCATGACAATTAACGAGGCTATGGCAAGCAGTAGCCCTAGCAGCAAGCCCACCATGAACAGTCCCACGCTCCTCACCAGCATGGTTACCAGTCCACAAAGTTATATGTAGATGTGATGGTCAGGTGCCCTCATACTTTTGGCCATATATGTAGATGTGATGGTCAGGTGTCCTCATACTTTTGGCCATATATGTAGATGTGATGGTCAGGTGCCCTCATACTTTTGGCCATATATGTAGATGTGATGGTCAGGTGTCCGCATACTTTTGGCCATATATGTAGATGTGATGGTCAGGTGTCCTCATACTTTTGGCCATATATGTAGATGTGATGGTCAGGTGCCCTCATACTTTTGGCCATATATGTAGATGTGATGGTCAGGTGTCCGCATACTTTTGGCCATATATGTAGATGTGATGGTCAGGTGTCCTCATACTTTTGGCCATATATGTAGATGTGATGGTCAGGTTGCCTCATACTTTTGGCCATATATGTAGATGTGATGGTCAGGTGTCATCATACTTTTGGCCATATGTGTAGATGTGATGGTCAGGTGTCATCATACTTTTGGCCATATGTGTAGATGTGATGGTCAGGTGCTCTCATACTTTTGGCCATATATGTAGATGTGATAATCAGGTGTCCTCATACTTTTGGCCATATATGTAGATGTGATGGTCAGGTTGCCTCATACTTTTTGTCATATATGTAGATTTGATGTTCAGGTTGCCTCATACTTTTAGTCCTATATGTAGATGTGATGGTCAGATGCCCTCATACTTTTAATCATATATGTAGATGTGATGGTCAGATGCCCTCATACTTTTAGTCATATATGTAGATGTGATGGTCAGATGCCCTCATACTTTTAGTCATATATGTAGATGTGATGGTCAGGTGCCCTCTGACTTTTGGCCATATATGTAGATTTGAGGTTCAGGTGTCCTCATACTTTTAGTCATATATGTAGATGTGATGGTCAGGTGCCCTCATACTTTTGGCCATATAGAGCATGTATCATGGGTTTATGTTATTTTACACCTCATTATCCTGCACCTGTACCACTGGCGTAGATTGGAGAAGACTGGCTGGTTACAAACCAATCAGTGACACAGAATCTATCCAATTGTGTTTGTGGGGGCGGGGAGATTCCATGTTAGATCAGTACAATGCAGTTAATTAAAATTAGTAACCGACAGTTTGAGCTTACCTTCTGTGTGCGAGTAGCCCTCTGCTGTGACTTTCCACTGGACGAGCACCCCCAGTAAGCTGAGCACAGGCCATATCCCGAGGATGACCCAGCTGTACCAGCAGACGGCCTGCGGGGGGTCAACCTTCATGCGCTGGTACACGTACTGCACCAGAAGAAAGAGCTCGATGAAGTAATCCACAGTCACAGTCATGATGGCACTGCCAAAGACAGCAGTGGAGAGTGTGGTGAAGAAGCGTTGCCACTGTAAGGTCAACACGGCAAACAGCATCCCAATTCCGAGCAAAAGCGCCACCGGAACCCACACCGTGCGTGGGTGGTAGAACTGTTCCATGACAATTAACGAGGCTATGGCAAGCAGTAGCCCTAGCAGCAAGCCCACCATGAACAGTCCCACGCTCCTCACCAGCATGGTTACCAGTCCACAAAGGACACCGATGCCAAGGCCAATGCCCACGCTGGCTTCCACGCTCAGCTGCGTGTCCAGAACCCGTTCCTTATAGCACAGCATGAAGATGACCACCGATCCAAACATCAGACCAGTCAAGAACATGACAGCCTTGAAGCAGCGGTAACCTGCATGGGACAATTGGATATTAATTAGAACATCATCATTGTATCTACATAATAACATGTCACTCATTACCTGTCACGTTTTACTTATACTGGGGAAATAAAAATATTAGGGGGATCCTAGATGGGGAATTTCTCTACCCATCAGAGCCATCGAAGGTCATCCACCTGGCTATACGCCAGGCGTAACTTATATAACTGAATCCCCAAATTTCTGCTTATTAACAGTGGCTCCTGCAGATTCTTCCTCCAGTCCATGTCTATATCGAGGTGCAGACTTCCAGCTAAAGGAGGAAGTATCAATGGACTATACGTGGAGTGATGTCACTGCACTTCTTCTCCTTTGAGAACTACAAGTCCCTCTACTACGGTGACTGATGGGACTTGTAGCCTCCATTCACAGACATCTGATCTTCGGGAAATGTTGGTGCATTAGCAGCCGATTCATGTCAACAGGCTTCCTTATTGCAACACACGGTAACATGCATTAACGCACCACAAAAATGTTAATGGGACCCTTTAGCCCTCTAACTCCTGAATCTAGCTTTCCTCCTTTCTGGCACTTCCAAACTTGAGGCCCATCGTTTTTTGGAAGATTAGGCAATGCATGGCTCTCCAGTTTCAGGAGATTTACTACTCCCTGTGGCTGGCAGGATCTTTAGGGACTTGTAGTTCAGCGCTGCAGGTTGCCTCTTTCTGATACACTTGGACTTTAATTCGAAGGTTGGTTTCTTCAGACGTACTCACCAAAGAAGCAGTAGATGATCCCAAAAAGGCAGCACATGGCACAGACCACAGAGGGCACCACCTGGTACCTCCTCTCTATCTCCTGCTCGCAGGTCGGAGGCCAATCCGGCCCCGGCTCCGGAGCAAACAGCTTGAATGGAAGGGTTTGCATAATGTCGGTCATGTCCCCAAGAGGAGATACAAGACTGTATGTCTGAGTGTGACTGTTCTTCAAAAGTCCGTATTATGGAACCAATTCCATGTACAAAGTCTTATCATTGGTCCTAGAAGGGGGGGGCAGAAGACAAAGAAATCATCAGTTAACAAGGCAAAGACAAACACAACACAAGTACATTACAATAGTGCAACTTCAATACAGGTGATTGGTTTGTATAAAGATGGCCAGTCTGAAGTGCAAGGTGAAAACCACATGTGATGCCCAACCTTCATGATTGAAAGAACTGAAACCCAATACTGTAATTGAAGGGGGCAGGCCAGGGACAGTCAGGCTGGGGAGGAACCCCCATATTTTATCCTGCACGTACATGTTGATCTTCCAGAAACAGAAGCCACGGATGTTCCGTATAGCCCGTCAAATCAGTGGCGGGCTGTGGCTGTATGCTGGTAAATGCTGCTCCGAGCATGTACATCCATACAGGTTCAGATTTACGCCCTTGGACACAGACATCCATCTGTACCTGTAATCAAGTATACGCTCAGAGAGGATTTTACCAGCGTAAAGCCACAGCGCGTCATTGATTTGTACTGACAGGCTTTACACAGTAACTGTGGCTCCCAGGAGCAGAGATCCAGTCATTTTTTACAGCACGCGGGCTCCAGGAATAAGCCCTTAGGCCTGGTTCACACCTGGGTGTTTTACAACGCTCAACATGTGAAAACCAATGATTGCCTATGGGCATGGTTTCCACCTTGGCGTTTTACAGCGCGTAGGAACGCGCTGCAAAACGCCATATGCCCAAAGAAGGAGAGGAGCTTCTTTGGGGCGTATTTGCCGCGCGTATCCATTGGGATACAGCCAGGTAGCTCTCGGAAACGCGCGTTTGTCGTGCATTTTTTACCACAAATCGCAGTAAAAACGCGCATATTCCGTATGCCTAGGTGTGAACCCAGCCTCAATGAGAGGGCAGAACACCGGACAGGGCTGGGAGCACATTGTTCTCTGCAGTGATGGTCTCTGACTTTTTTCTGTACATATAGGAGCATAATGACATACTAAGGGGGAAAGCCTATGACCTCACAGCCATCCTGCCTGCAGAGCTTAAACCAAGAGGTCATAGAGGTCAAGAGGTCACCAGACAAAATGGCTGCCAGAATAGCCACTATTTGTTTATTGGTTCAGAAGCATGCACCCTCAGTCTATGTATGTGCCTCCTCTCCCCCCGCATGTATAGGGATTACTGATTAAGCTTCGTATCCTGGGCACAGCTGTGAGATGAACTGTCACGATGGAGCGTTAACGTGGCGAGCCTCCTGCCCGCTAATCCTGAGCATGAACCAAACCAGGTCTGCTGTAATTATATCCTGCCAGAGTCTACTGATTCTCTGTATAGGGCATCACCCCTGCCCTGACCAGGAGCCGGGGGGGGGGGGGGGTTGATGAAATCCATTGCAGAGATATGTGCTTTGTATATCAGCCTTTTAGAGGTTATTAAAGGAAAACTGTTAAAGTGCAAGTAAGCTGAAGCAAAATCAGCAGGCTGTATAAGACAGAAGGGACTGTGTAAGTGTCTTCTGTCATGAAAGCTTCTTGCTGCCATTTTGCAATTATTTATTTTCTATACGCTGAGCCACACATGTGCAGCTCAGTGCACGGACCCGGCATGCCGAGATGAAGTTGCTCCCGTGTGCATGCGTGGTCATTACATCATCGGGGCCTGGCCAATCAAGCGGCCAAAGACTCTCAACCTGGAAGAAGACCGGGAGGAAGATGTAAACAAGGTAGAGATGCAGAGCTGGAGGGGATATATACATATATATTGTGACAGGACAGTGCCGTATCACTATGGTGATTGGTGTGTTTGGCGCCCAGGACTCTCGGCCAGAGGGGCTGAGAGAGTCCAGAAAACATATAGCGTTACAGGGAAGGAGCTGGGTGTCCAGTTCTTTCCGGGTTTTCTGGAATATAACTGGGATCTGGGTCTTTGGAGATTTCTAAGGCTGGGCACACACCTTACAACCATCGCAAGACTTTTGTCTTGCGATGGTTGTAAGGTACTTAAAAAAACGTACGATCTGCCTATCTTGCATAGGCAGATCGTACTTGCGATGATCGCAAGCCACGCCCCCTGAGGGGCGGACGTCCGATGACCGCAATGCCGAACGGGCAGTGTGCGCTTGCGGCTTTTATGGTACGGCCCGGCCCGTACGGCTTTTATCGTACGGACATGCCACAAACCCGCCGAACATCGTACGATGCTCGGCGGGTTTTCGAACATGTCCGTAAGTTAAAAGTCGTGCGACCTTACAGTAGTAGAGGTCGCACGGCTTCCACACACCTTACGATAATTGTACGATCTCGGGATTTCCCGCGATTGTCGTACGATTATCGTAAGGTGTGTGAGGACCTTAAGAGTCTTGGGCGGGATGAAATCTCCAGTCCAGGGGCCAGGTGCAGCCGATTACCAGACCAGGCTGTCCAGGTGGCTGATAACAGCCATATTAAGAGACTGGACAGATAGGAAGAGTTGGTGTGGTGTGGTCTGCAGGCACTTGAGGGCTCCTGCTGAGAAGAGGGGCAGGTTGTGTCCAGGAGTCAGGTGGACTCCACCCAGAAGCCAGAGTGGAGCCAGGAGGCTGTGTGTGTTTGCTGGAGGCACCTGGGAATCAGCCTGGGACATACAAGGGGTGTGTGGAAGAGTCACATGCAGGATAGGTGACAATCCTGAGTTGGTGAGGCATTGTAATATTACTTACTGGCTCAAACATAAGCGGACTGTATGTTGCTGAATTAAAGCTCTTTTTTGTTACGGAAGAATAATAAAGACTTTTGCTTAAAGGAAAAGCCTGTGCGAGTGCTCTGTGAGCTCCCCAACGTCACAATATATATATGTAACTGCAGTCAACCTAAGAGGCCAGCCCACCCAAATGTAATATCTTAGTTCTAAGCGGACCCTGGTGGGTGGGTTCTAAGTCAATTCCTGGTTTCTAACATGTCTTCAATACTTCAACAACGAGATCTCCCTACCGTAATTCCTAACTGTCTTTCTGTCCACCCGGGGGATTTGGTGTCCCCATCTATCTGTGTGTGTCCAAGCTCCTATTGTTGCATCCTCCACAATATAAAATCAATAAAAAAAGTAGGAAGAGTGGAAACCCCGAATAATGGCCTCAGGAGATGTTTACACCTGGGGACTCAGCACAGCGAGCCCACCAGGAGGCTCCCAAGAGGTAAAAGAAACTGTCAGGTAATTTAACTGTCTTGCACAGTCTATCTCAACCAGGGCGCCTTCTGGCTTCCTAAACATTTTCTAATGGTAGGACTCTAATGAGAAGGGGGAACTCTGATGTAAAAAGGGGGCATCCCAATATGTGAGGGGACTTAGATTTAAAGGGGAAGGGGTACCACGATGTAAAGAGGGCTCCTGATGTGAAGGGTGGCTTCTCATGTGAAATCGGGCTTCTAACATTAAAGGGGGGATCCCAATATGAAAGGGGACTCTGACATAAAGGGGAAGGGGGGCTCTGATGTAAAAAGGGCTCCAACCCAATCCAGTCTCCTCTAGAAACGATGCTACACAGAGATACTTCCACTAAACTGGTATCGACTTATTATGCCGAACTTATGGCAACTAGGTCGTCCAGGTTTGATAAATGCAAAGAAAAATGGCAGGCCTTTCTCCCAGACCTAGATGGGGACGGTTGGAGTGATTTTGAAAACACATACATGTCTTCTGTAATCGCCTCTAGAGACAGAATTTTACAAGTGACATTTTTTTTACCAGGTCTATTATACTCCATCCCTTCTACATACATCAGGTCTCCGCCCCACCCCGCGGTGTTTTAAGCGCTGCGGTCAAAGGGCAGATTTTTCCCACTCCTTTTGGTCTTGTCCACATATCCGTTCGTATTGATCTGAAATCACCGCCTTCATGGAGACTGGTTTGGGTTTCCCCAATATATGCAATCCCACTTTCTGTTTATTGGGTCTTTTTGGTGAACTGATGTTGGATGCTAGGGCCCAGACCCTCATTCGTCTACTTTTATTCTATGCTAAGAAGGCCATCCTTTTGGTATGGGGCGGCGCCTCCCTCCCTGAGTTGCTGGAAAAAACTGGTCAGTAAGTCACCTTTCTCTTTACAAGCTTACCTATGCGCAGAGGTGTAGCCCAGACCGATTTGAACGGATCTGGGGACCATGGCTCTCCTCTACTGCTACAACAACTGATCCTGCATAATTGTACTTTGTGCTCTAGTATAAGGCCTGGCGCTCCATGTTCCTCTACTGGCTCCCCGTGTTCAATGTATAAGGGTATGGTTCACACCCGGGCGTATTACAGGCCGTATGAATGCGCTATAAAACGCCCTACGCCAAAAGAAGTACATGAGCTTCTTTGGGGCGTTTTTGTTGCACGTTTCCATTGGGATACAGCCAGGTAGCCATCGGAAATGCACTTTCGACGCACGTTTTTTTACCGCGAATCGCGGTAAAAACACGCGTCACGAAACGTGCGACAAACGCGCATATTCGATACGCCTAGGTGTGAACCCAGCCTCATGGTGTGTAACCGTGCATTTCATATGCCTGTATTGAGACTGTCATTTTTCTTTGTACTGAGACTGTGAACTCATTGTGATCTTTTTCTTTGTTTTTTCTTGTTTTATGTCACTGGTTATGTTGCCCGGGTTTTCCTTTTTTTTGGGACCTGTTTTGTAACTTTTTGCTAACTTGATAAACTAATAAAAAGCATCTTTAAAAAAAAAAGAGGGCTCCAGATGTAAAGGGGGCTTCTCATGTGAAAGGGGGCATTAAAGGAACATTAAAGGGAGGATTCTGATGTAAAGGAGGGGGGGGGCTATTGATGTAAAAGGGGACTCTGATGTAAAAGGAACATTTCTGATGTGAAAGGGGGACTCTGATGTGAATGGGGGCTTCAGATTTGAAAGGAAGACTTGATGCAAAGGGAGGAACCCCACATTTTTGTGTGTTTTTGCATGGGGTCCCCCCTTACATTTTAGACTGTGGTCCTTAGAAATTTTGCATACTTTTTAGGGGTGCCGTGAGTGAAAAAAGGTTAAGAAATGCTGGTCTAGCCTACAACCAAAAACAAAAAAAACTGTTTCGTATGGACTGGCTATTTAATATACAGGTGAAACTCGAATATTTAGAATTAGAATATCGTGCAAAGTTCATTTATTTCACTAATGCAACTTAAAAGGTGAAACTAATATATGAGATAGACTCATTACATGCAAAGCAAGATAGTTCAAGCCGTGATTTGTCATAATTGTGATGATTATGGCTTACAGCTCATGAAAACCCAGATCCACAATCTCAGAAAATTTTTGGCAGTGTGGGCAGGTGCCAAGTCCTACTGGAAAATGAAGTCAGCATCCCCATAGAGCTCGTCTGCGGAAGAAAGCATGAAGTGCTCCAAAATCTCCTGGTAGAAGTTGCATTAGTGAAATGAATTAGCTTTTGCACGATATTCTAATTTTTCGAGTTTCACCTGTAGATAATGTTATCCAGGACTATGTGTATAGTTATTAAACATTGTTTATTACATAGGCAGGTTCTGCTTCCTCCTGAGTAGTATGGCACATTGACGGTTCTGTCCTACCTAAATGCAAGTCTGGGGTCAGGTACTTTGTATACAAACACTTTGCTTTGTATTCAAACGCATTGCTACTCAAATGCAACTGTTTAGATGCAGGGGCTGCGTTGGACCTGCTTTTTCCTGCAACACAGAGTTCAATGGCACCAGCTGCATCTGAATAAACTCAAAGTCTAAAGGTGCCCATACACCTTACGATTATCGGACGATTTTCGTATGTAATCGACTTTTCGTCCGATAATCGTATGTGTGCATTGCAGTGTCCGACCGACATTACTGTACAATCGTACTACTTTTGACGGTCAAGCATGTTTGAAAACTTTGCTAGATCGTACGATTGTCGTAAGGTTGCTGGCGTTTCCGTCCGTCAAAAGTCGTACGATCTACACTGCGTTTGCGCTAACGCAAATACGGCAAATCAATTACCGCATTTCGTCCGGGTGCTTTTCGTTAATTACGGCTAAATTAATCTTGCGATCATCGGGGCAGGATGGGGCTGCCGTACGAAAATCGGACGACTATTCGATCATCGGACGAAAAGTTTTGTCCGATAATCGTAAGGTGTATGGGCAGGATTAAAATCAATTAAGAATGAATCGATAACTGTTGACCTGTGCTCGAAGCATGTTCGAAAAACAGGTCAGATGCAGAAAAAAACAAAGCCTGTCAACACTAGCCCTTATGCTCGGCGGCTCTGCCTAAAATCTGAGCCATGCCATTTGTTGGGATCACATGACCAATGCCATGGCATTTGGTTGCATGATTGGCACTGGAGGGAGATTGGGTGATGTTTATTAAACATAAGTGGATCCTTTAAGCACTATATTTAGCAGGGGGTCAGTCAGTTAAGATGGCCATACACTAGTAAAAGTCAATTTGACCAGTGTGTGGCCATGTTGGGATCCCCCCTTTCAACTATGGATGGCTCTGCCAACACAACCAGGCTCGATAAAAGTCAATTATCCAATTGACGTTTGTCGAAGGAACCTGTCCAAAAAATCTCAGCCAATCAGCTGCAGTCACCTTTCGAGTAGTTTGACAAGAGCATACCCACTGCTGTCAGAATACAATAGCTTGGCAGGGGAGGAGGTCGGGATTCCCCCAGGGGCTGAACAAGAACAAAGGGCCAGTGTATGGCCAGCTATAGACTCAAGTACCTAACATACATCTAACAATATGTTATCTCATATGGAACAACTATTAGTTTGATTGTTATGGGCAACGCAGATGCTTTCTCTTTAGACCCATATGGAGCCCATAACTGCTTTCTGAAACAGAAACCTGCAACCACTGGGGGACTAAAAGTCCCAGCATATCAGCAAACCCCTATTGTGTTAATTCATATAGCAGAGAGGGCACTGAGCCTATAGGGAATCTTACAACCTAATGGGTCTACCAGGTCACAGACACCCATGGAAAGCAGAGTACACGCTGGGAAACCTACGCAGACCTGGGGGAACCCTGGAGAACAATTTTCGAAACATTTGCGCAGTTGTACGGTATTGGGACATGTAAAAGCCAGCACAGATCTCTCAAACACGAGATGGTTGCTCGCTGTGGCTACATAATTTCAATTTATATGCACACTTTCTAAAGAGGCAACATGCTGATTGTGCCATTCAATATCCTATTACTTCCTAAATCAGGGATGGACAAACGAATACGGGAATCAGGAGGTGGTCTGTTCAATCCAGGAGCCGGAAGGATTTTATTTTTGGAGCCTATTGGCTACAGATAGAGAAAATCTAAAAAGTTGGGCACTGGCTGTGAGTTTTTTCAGGAACATTGGCGACCTGGCTCCTGGGGTTTGCCCAGCCCTGGACTAAATATATAAAGTGAACAAAATGGGAGCTTCTGCCCAGAGCAGCCAATTAGATACGCGGTTCTTATTTATCAAAGGGTGCTCAATACTCGGAGTACACAACTACCCAACCCGTGATAACACCACGGGGGTAGCAAGCAAAATTATATCTATCAAATAGTGTTATACGGTGTTGTGTCTTAAATAATGGCCTTGGTAGGGACCTACATGTGCAGGAACAATTCTTTGTAACCTGGAACTGGGTAAGGCTGGCGCCCCTTGGTATGTGCTGCACTGTACTGCTCTCTATAGATCCACCTTGCTGTTTGTACACATAAATATTATATAACTTCTCGAATACGCAGACTGACCCATGGTGGCTGGAAAATAGTGTGAGCCGCTGTCCGTAACAACCCCTGATCTGCCCTCAGCAAGAACTCTATAGCCCTCAATCGGCCAATCAGATTCAAACCTGCGCTAGGATCTTGCCTGCTATTGGCTGTCTGGGAACAATGCCATTCTTTTGATAAATAAAAAGCCCACAGCATGATGAAAAAAAAAAGGTGAACCCAACAATGTCCAACCGTTCCAGTTTTAGCACCCACCTAACGTAAGAGTCCTTTGCATGCATCAATGTTTGTGCTCCTTGCTGGCACAAGGGAGTTTAGGCGTGTTGGGTTTCAGTTAATAAGTGCTGAGCGTCAAGTACAGTAACCCATGGCAACCGACCAGAAACTGTCTTTCACTAGCCCGGCTGAACTTAACTGTTGAATGTTGGTTTTTGATGGGTCGCAACAGGTCACTGCACCTGTCCGTTGCAGCCAATGAGCATGGGCGAAGTATGGTAACCTGTGGCAACCATGGTAATGATCAATAATATAAAACTGATTGAGGGGTACCGCACCCCGCACAGCCCTATAGCACTTTGCATTGCCTTAGGAAGTAATCCTGAACGACTCCGGTACTTGCCTTGTGCGCAACTGGCGCTGGACGCACGTTTCCGCTTCCATATGCGGGCACCATGCATTCTTTGCAGAACATCATTACTGTATGGATCGTAATGGCATCATTATCACTATACAAATGGCTTCTGCCTTCCTAGATGTACCTGATGCTGGCAGATAACTTGGAATGACGGGATTGTGGAGGAGACATAAAGGAGCCCTGGGCTATACAAGAGGCAATTCTATTTTCCAGTGACTGAGGCCTGTCTATGCTGTAAACAAACCTACCCAGCCCAGCCGGGGCGAAACGACGCAAACACAGCTCCCCCCCTTACCCAGATGAGCCCCCCGGTGTGGTTATTTACCACCGATAATCATTGCCCAGAGCTGGCAGCCATCCTGGCTCACCGGGGAGGAGGGGATTTTTTAACCCGCCGCCTGCCGGATCGAGGCCAAGCTGGCACTCACCATGCTGTGCAATGTGATCTGTGTGATGGTGGGCAGCAATGCATGGATCAATATTAACGAAGCCATGGGGGCCATAAGGCTTGACAGAATCCCTACTCGGAAAACAGGGACGGTGCCGAGGTTTAGTGGGTCATTAAAGCTTATAGGGGGGGAAATAAAAGGAAGGAACTTACATTGAATATCAGCAGTGTGTATGGGATTCCTGAACAGCTGAAGGTTTCCATTTTTGCAGGCGGGGGAGAATTAAAGGGGTGGGGGGCATGGCTGTTATGAAGATAAGGGAGGTCTCTCCTAATTACAGAGTGTTGGTGACCCAGCATAGGATCAATTAGTGACAGTACCTAGGGTGGGGTGAGTCACATCCGTGGGAGGTGTCCTGAGATGGGGACCATACATGGAGCTGTCACCCGGTGCCCCTTTATTCCCACGGTGCAGCCGCCAGCAGTCTCCTTCCTGTGTAAAGGCAATGTTTGCTGTCTCTCTGCCTCTCCTGAGGTCTCTCACTCATCCTCAAGCAGCAACGCTTCTCCGGCTGTCTTGCGAGATGCTCCAGGGTCCAACCGTCCAGCATGCAGCTTGCGGGTCTGTCACTTTCAGTCTCAGGCTCCCCGGTGGTCTCTCGTATGTGGTGATCAAGAGTGTCTCCCCCATCCATGGGTTCCTTGCCCCGGGATCATCTTACATAGCCATTGTGCTGCTCTCTCCATCACTCTCTTCCTCTCTTTGTCCCCATCTCTGCTCTCTCCTTCCTTCTCCCTCTGCGGTTGGAGGGGCTTTGTGAAAAGAGACCTCCCCCCCCCCCTCCTCCCCTCCCTCAGTCAGCCTTCCCTCTGTGTCTGCTGTCTCTGCCCTCACACCTCCTGCCTTGCACTTTCCTTAGTGTTTTAACAAGCAGCCTGTGCCCTCACTTACCCCTGGGTACCCCCATCCTTAACCGTCTGCCCCCTCTCATCCACCCAACCAGGCTCAGCACTCTCTATGGCCCCCGGCTGGCTCTCTCTCGCAGTCTGCTCTCTCCTTTTCTCTCTGTGGTTTTCTCTCTCTTTTTCTCCCTCTTTCTTTGTCTCTCTCCCTCTATTCTTTTTGTCTGTCTCTTATCTGTCTCTTTCGTTTTCCCTTTTCTGCTCTATTGCTAGCTCTCTGTCTGCACTCCCTCTCCTTGTTTCCCACCGTGTCTCTCTGGGTGTCTTCAGCACTCTGGGTGCACTCTCTCCTGGCTCTTACTATCCCTATGATCTCCCTTCTCCTCCCCCATCTGTCTCTCCCCCTCTGTGTCTCTCCCTCTGTTTCTAGTACCCCTCTGTCTCTCCCCCTCTGTCTTTCCTCCTCTGTCTCTACCCTTCTCTCTATCCTCCTCTGTCTCTCCCCCCCTCTCTCCTCCTCTATCTCTCCTCTGTCTCCCCCCCTCTCTCTCTCTCCTCCTCGGTCTCTCCTCTGTCTCTCCCCCTCTCTCTCTCCTCCTCTGTCTCTCCCCCTCTCTCTCTCCTCCTCTCTCTCTACCCTCCTCTCTCTCCTCCTCTGTCTCTCCTCCTCCTCTGTCTCCCCTCCTCTGTCTCTCCCCTCTGTCTATCCCCCTCTCTCTCTCCTCCTCTCTCTCTCCTCCTCC